CCCCCCTCCCTCCCTTCTCCCTTTCCCTGCTCCATCTCTGTCTCATGCCGACCAATATATGGTCTATTGTCACCCGTTTTGTCGACGGTCCCCCGCGTCTACTGACTGCACAACACAACCCTTCGGAGGTTGGGGGGGCGCAAGTTATTTTTTTATCCCCTCCCTTTTCTCCATGTGAAATGAGACGCTGCTCTCCTCTTCTTGCTCTCCGTCTCGTCCGAGGATTAGTGAGCTCTTGCGTGTGTGAGGCCACACCTCGGCTCGGACGAGCGGCGGCGGAGCGGGGCGGGGCGGGGCGGCCCCGAGGGGGTGAAACTTGAGATACAGTCGCTTTTGTTCTGAGGAGACGCGCGAGAGGCGGGGCGCGGCGAACGCTGCCCGCCGGCCAGGCGCCCGACAACAACTGCATCATTTTGAACGCGTTTCAATATTTTCATGAAACAGGAGTCGATTCGAAACGAAAAAGCATCTGGTGCCATTATTCTTACGCGTGCAACACACAGACCCTCCATATATTTTAAATTTCACACTTGCAACCAGGGAAAGAAAATCAGAGAAAGAAATGGTGATGACGTAAAAAAACAACATTGTGCTCAAAGTACACGTTTGGATCCAAGTCCAACCCAAACAAATGCATGCATGTGTGAGTACAAGCTCTCATCCCCCCGGTCGCAGGATCAGATAAATTGAATCCTACTCAAGTAAGAGGCAAAGGAAAGGCTCATCGCTTGCAGGCAAACTGCTCCCATGAAGTAGTATTATTGTAGTGACTTACTCTGCTCGGCCCTGCGTCGACATTGGCTTTACATCGGAGTTGTTTTAAAAGCCTGGAACAGGAGCAGAAGAATACTTTTAAAAACAGCAGCAAGCAGGGCAGCCCGAGATTGAAAGTCTTTGGATTTCAGGGCGTGTATACAGCATCTTAGTATGCACAGCTGCATACTGTATGTTCTCTAGCATTTGTGTATAAATAGGCAATATAACGATTTTGTACAGTTAACAACAGACACGATTTCTGGTAAGTATTCTCTGAAAATACTCCCACAAAAATTTGGGTTGGTTTGAGTAAATAATGTCACAAAATCTACATACGATTTACGATTTTTAAAAAATGCATCTGGAATATATATGTCATCGTATACGGGTTTAGTGTTCCGTAAGTAGTTGTAAAGTTCGGCGAAGTCACCCGTCGGGGGAATTCCCAACAACAGTCCCTCGTTACACCTGTGCTGTGCGACGCCCCGGGCGCCCGGCCAGATAATCCCCCTCGTTAGGCCCCGGCCCCAGAGCGCGCCAAAAGCTGCATTGTCGAGAGACAGCGGAAAGAATTTGGGTGCGCGCATAGCGGTCATCGAGAAATGCATATCAAACTCGCGATAAGGAATACCGGTCTAATCGGGAAGAGAGAGAGATAAGGTCTTATCGTGACACATGTCACTCCCCTGTTCGATCGAGGGGACATCCTTGACGTGAAGGAGTGGTCCCGATGTACTTTTGTAGATACGCGTCATTGAACACGAGAATGGTTACACGTAATGATTTCCCTTTTGGCTCACAGGTGCACACAATTTTTCGTGAGGTCGGTTTTGTTTTCGGAGGTACAGGTTTTGGGTTACGGCGCAGAACTCCAAGAAGTGTCTTCACATGATGGTCGTCACACATAACACACAGACTATCGCTCACTGCACCTTACCAGACAGAGTCAAACGACGACCGACGAATCACAGCTAACGGCTCTTGAGGCGCAAGTGGCACAAGTGTCCGCGACACTCTTTGGCGGTGTGAGCGCACCTCTGGCCGCGCCCCGGGCCGGGCAGATCTCCGCGCCCCGATAACGATTCGCCATGCACGGCGGGCGGGCGCGGCCAGCGGCGGCCGACCCGGCGGTGAGGTTAGGTCGGCCGTCAGCTGACACGCCTAACCTCCTCGCGGGCCGCCTAACCTCACTCCAGGCCGGCTCGACCTGCTGGGCGGGCCCGCCCGGCCGGGACCACATGAGGCTTGATGCGAAGGAGGCGGCGCACTCGCTTTTGTTTGTTGTTTCTCTCACTGCACATTTCCTGGTGTCTCGCGGCTGGCGCGCGCTCGCGCCGCACAACACGACCGCCCTCGCGGCGCTCTCCTCGGCGCGGCTCACAATCAACTTACCTACGAGCTGGGGCTGCGCCGGGCTGCGGCGGCGCGCGGGCCGGGCAGGGCAGGGCCCGCGGGCAGGGCAGCGCCAGCCGGGGAGGGAGATAAGGCGAGCCCGCGCCTTACGCAGCTTACCGGGCTTAGCGCTTCTCAAACCGTATTAAAGACGATTGAGTGCAACTTTTCAAAACAGACACTGGGCCGTGCCGCAGCGAGCCGCAGCGGCCAGCAGCACGCAGCGAAGGGCGTCGCATCGCGCATGTCTGGGCAAGGGCCCCTCCACGAGGGCCCCGCCGCACCCCGCCTCGCCCCGCCT